CCCTCGGGAAGGAGAACGGTTCACGTTTTGTCCACGTTCGGGAAGGCTTTCTACTCGGATCTGTTGTGTGTGCCCCCGATGTTGATCGAGCATGGGTTTTGCCGTGGCCGTAGAAGAGAGGATGCAATCCTAGTAGTGCAGCTTCTCAGTTGGCGGCTCCGTCGAGCGGGGCATAGTTTCGCATGCACGTATAAGGACATGACGAATGCGTTTGCGTGCGGGTCCTGGGAGGAGTTGACTAACACGGTAAACTTACACGCGGCCCCCGAGAACATAGACTTATGCATTCAGCGCTTTAAAAGTAGTGTGGTACGACTGGAGTCTCTGGAAGGGGGGGTCTACTTGAAGTCGGGCGAGGGTGGCACGATGGGGGACCCGTACGTAGTTACACTTTTCAGAGGCACGTTCTCTAGGCCAATCATGAAGTGGCTCTGGCGGCTCCGTCAGATCGACCCTCATGCGAAGGAGTTGATCGCGCATTGGAAAGAGCTCAGGGCGGATGTCGGTACGAGCGTGTACGCCGACGACCTTTTCAGAGCCCATGTTGCCGCCAATTTTTCCACGGTGGGAGAGTTTCTTTCGGTCCTCAGGGAGGCGGATGAGGCGCTTTCGGAGGAGTTGCAGGAGTACGGGTATGCCCAGAATGTTTCGAAACAGGAGCTGCAACTATGTTTCCAGGGACCAGGGGCGGTGAAATGTCGGCAGTGGGTGCGGGGGACGGGACGTTCGAGCATCTCGGGAGAAGTTCAGGAGGACGTTCGGTATTTGGGACCTAGAATTAATCTGCAGCAAACGGCATTTATAGAAGTTCGTCGTCGGATCCAGGCTACAGCGGAGGCCTACTATTCGCTCGGCCAGGTATGGAGTTTATCAGTACCGTTCCGCTGGAAGCGGACTCTATTTCTCAGTTTTGTTCAGAATGCTGCGCTGACGGGTCTGGAGCCAATGCTGTTGACCGCCAAACATTATCGAGAACTGGACGCACTTATAGCGAGATATGGGAGGAGGGCGACGCAGGGGAAGGCGGTGATCAGCAAGGAGGAGGGGAAGATGAGGACGCTCACAAACAAACAGGTCATGCAGCATTGGCGTCTAGCAAGTTCTGCCACAGAACTTCTTGTTCGCAGGTTGGGCTGGTATCGCAGCTGGGCCCTTCGCCCAGAGTCTCACACGCAGGAGTTGTGCTTGCTTTTCGGCGCGATGCCACTTGATCCAGGAGGTACAGCGCTCTCTGGTAATCAAGTTTTGTTGTCTCAGGCGCCCCCATGGCTCGTTCGGCTACAGGAAGACTTTCAACAGGCCGCCGAGCGGATGGACGAGGGACAGATCTGCGCGCACATTGCGCGATTCCCTGGAAAACTCATCAGTAAGGAAACGATGTCGGCTCTTGCTCGACTAGACTTCACGGAGATCAGATCCAGGGAGTTGTCGGTCACGTTTTCCCCGACCGATGGAGAGGCTCCGCTCGACAGGGGCCCCGAGGCTGAGGACCCCCTTGAAGTCCCTGAACATCCTTGGAAGTGCGACTGGGAGGAGGAGGAGGGGCACATATGCGAACGGGGCTTTCAAACTAAACGAGACCTGCTAAACCATATGCGTCGAGTTCATCAAGTACATAACTTATGTTCGTCAATTACACCAACAAACACCTGTATTGTATGCCGTCGAGTCTTCGGGTCGCAGGGCAATGCATACAAACATCTACAACGGGCTGTCTTGGCGGGGAGGTGTCCGGCTCGTGGTACTTCGACGTTTCGACAGGTCCAAGTCCCAGGAAGCTTCGATTGTAAGATATGTGTGTACAAGGCGGGTGGGCTCGATGATCTCTGTAGCCATTTGGCTGAGTGTCATCTTCCACGGACGGTTGAAGCTAACCTCCCTCCCGAGCAGAGAGTTGCTGACGATGCCAGTGGAGGGGGAGGAGAAGCTGGACGTTCCAGAGTGGATGCTGGCCCCATCATCAGAAGGGGGACCCGCCAAGCACCGTCGAACCGCAGGCAAAAAGGGAGACCTCGGCAAGCTCGCGGGTTCCACGCTGTCGCAGCTCGTCATGATTCTCGCCAAACTGGTATTATCGGACAGTCGGCAGCTGGCCGAGTTGACGGCCACAGTGTACAGAACGTTCGACCTCGACGCAGGCACGGGCTTGGCATCAGCAATGGAAGAAGCAGGACAGGGGTACAACGACGTATCAAAAAGCCTCAAAGAAAAGGCGGCAAAGGGCGATCAGGTCAACTGGAAAGCAAGGGGGCCACCATTCGTGCAGATATTTATGGCATCTATGCTATGGGCAGCGCAGCAGGCGGACAAGAAGGATGCCCCAGTGTGGGCGAAGGAGTTCAAGCTCTTGTGGACGGACAAAATCAGCAAGATGAAGATGGCCGACGTGGGGGAGGTGGTACTACATTGGCAGTGGAAGAGGAACAGGGGCAAGCAGTCCGAGGGCGAGAACAACATGGGGAGGATCTTTTTCGCGATCGACACATCCCGCCCGTTCGGCCTGGCCCTGGCAGAGTACGTAGAGAAGATGCTCGCGGGGCTCGGCGCGGAGAGGAAGATCGGACCAGCCCCCCGCGGGCCGCTCGAGAGGGATGCAAGCAAGTTGCTGGCAGAACTGAAGGAGTCGTAGTGAGAAGCAGGAGTGAGCAGAGCGTGAGTTTAGATAGGCCGTCTCAGCCGAGTAGCAGTGGCGATTCAGGGCGGCCTAGTCAGGCCGAGTGTTTTGAAACTCCTGGCAGCGTAGGGGCCATCCAAGGGGAAGCTCCTGGCCGTTCGAGGGTCGCCCGACCGAATTTTTTGAGCAGCTTGCAGCAACTGAGGGGTAGTGTTAGGCTAGTCGAACTAATTGCAAGAGGCAGCGTCAGTGCAGATATTTTGGACCCGAGCCCCACCCCTGTCCCATCAGCCTATAACCCCGAGATAGCGACCACCCCCACCATCCAGAGGGAAGGAGGCACGCGAAGAGGGAGAGGCAGGAAGGGGAAGGGCAAAGGAAAGGGCAAGGGTCGGTAGCAGTTCTCATTGGTCCCCACCAGTGGGCCCCTCGCCAGGCTGCGTGCCGAATTCGGGGGTGCCCACAGGGGCGGTGCGGCGTCCGTCGAGAGCCACGGGCCGCGCTGGATGGTTTGGCGGCATTAAGTTTCGCCCCCCAGAGTTCATCCTGCCCCACCCAGCTAGGCAGTCAGCTTGGCAGGCGATAAGCAGCAGCAGACGAACTCCCACGGGCCTGATCCTGATCCTGATCCTCCTCCCTACTCCTCCTCCTCCTCCTCATCCTCCTCCTCCTCCTCCTCCTCCTCCTCCTCCTCCTCCCTCCTCCTCCTCCTCCTCCTCCTCCTCCTCCTCCTCCTCCTCCTGTTGTTTGAGCTGATGATGTCATGATTCTCCTTCTAAAAGATTAATAGATTCTACCCCCCCCGGACTCGTCGGCTCCCCCTGGGATTGTATGATTTCACACACACACACACACACATATATATATATATATATATATATATATATATTATGCACACTCGTCCATCCTAAATATGAAATCATATTATCCCAGCCAAACCGGGTTCCCCCCCCTGAGGTTCCCTTGTAAAAAAAACATTATGCGGTGACATGTTTGCTCGAACATAGGACTTGTTCGCGAATCCATTGCAAAAAATGGGACGAAGTGCACACGCGCGCGTCGTCGCGCGCGCATGCCGAAATCCTTCAAAAACCTTCAGTTCCGGAGAGATTTCAAAATTGAATTTCCAAAAAACATACAAAAACACAGGGTTTCGCAACACTGGTTTGCTAAAAAAGCTTGCGCGCGAGCTCTTGCGAAATCTTAAGCAAACCATAGGTTTTTCAAGATTTTCACAAAATACTACCAAACGGGCTTCGCGCGCGCATGTCGAAATCTGTCGAACGCCCTTGCGCGTGTGCCGTCGCGAGAATCCTCTGCAAAAAAATGGGACGAAGTGCAGACGCGCGCGAAGTCCCGCGCGCATGCCGAAATCCTTCAAAAACCTTCGGTTTCGGAAGGATTCCGAAATCGTGTGTCCAAAAAACCTACAAAAACACAAGGTTTCGCAACACTGGTTTTCAACAAAAGCGTGCGCGCGCGCTCTTGCGTCGTCGTCGTCGTCGTCCTCCCTCCTCGCTCGTCGTCGTCGTCGTCGCCGTCGTCGTCTTCTGTCTTTCCTCGTCGTCGTCGTCGTCGTCTTGGCGTCGTCGTCGCTTCCGTCGTCGTTGTCGCCGTGGTCGTCCTTCCTCCCTCGTCGTCTTCGTCGGCGTCTCGTCGTTGTCCCTCCTATTTCGTCGCCGTCGTCGTCGTCGTCGTCGTCGTCGTCGTCGTGGTCTTCACTCCTCCCTCGTCGTTATCCTCCTTCCTCGTCATCGTCGTCCGTCGTCGGCGTCTCGTCGTCGTCCCTCTTATTTCGTCGCCGTCGTCGTCGTCTTCGTCGTCGTTGTCGTCGTCGTCTTCCCTCCTCCCTCGTCGTTGTCGTCGTCGGCGTCGCCGTCCTTCTTCCTTCTTCGTCGTTCGCGTCGTCGCCGTCTTCCCTCCTCCATCGTCGTTGTCGTCGTTGTCGCCGTCGTCGTTTTTTCTCCTCCCTCGTCGTCGTCTCTGTTGGCGACGTCGTCGTCGTCTTCGTCGTCGTCGGCGTCGGCGTCGTCGTCGTCTTCGTCGACGTCGACGTCGGCGGTGTCGTCGTAGTCGGTATCTGCGGCGCCGTCGTCGTCGTTGTCGCTGTCGTCGTCGGCGTCGGTGTCGTGGCCAAGTGCCATGTGGTACCTACCGTCACGGTCGTGTCTGAAGAAGTCTTGCGACCAAGTTACGGGTGGGAGGGTGGGATGTTTGCACGAGCAGTAGAGAGGACAGCTTCAAGACGGTCAAAGTGAACTTCACACATAGACCATACCAGAGCCCTGCTACGCTTCTGAGCACGGCAAGTAAATGGCACAGCGTGCCGCCGGGGCCGCCGCGGCGGCACGCCGAGCCAGAGTCCCCGACCGCAGCGCCCTCGCAGGATCGCCTCGACGAGGCCGAGGCCGGGCGGCGCTCGCAGGAGGCACGCCTGGCGCAGGCGGCCTACACGTAAGAGTGACCTTTCGCCAGAGTGACCTTTGCTGCAGGCTTATCGGGCTCCCCCCGATCGCCGAGCGCGATGCGATATAAGCGGCCCGCGCCTTTGGGTTTGGCTCCCTCGTGCCCCCAAGAGCTGCGCACCAAAGGTCACTCTTACCCGGGGTCTCTCTTACGCCCAGCCGAAGGCGGAGCGGCAGCTGGCCGAGCTCGACGCCAGAGCGGGCGAGCTCGGCCGCGCAGCGGAGGAGGAGGCGCGGGAGCGCGCCGCCGCGCTGGCGCGGCACCGGGAGGAGGCCGAGGAGCGGCGAGTGCAACGGGTGTGCCTTGAGATCTCGGCGTCGCAGTTCTGTGCACGACGGGCGTTTTCGCTCGGTTTCGGGTCCCGGGGCCCTCGCAGATCGGTCCGGGTCGAAAAATGACGCAGGAGTGTTGGGCCCGAGGCTCCGGTCGAGATGTGTTGCGATGCTGGATTTTTTGCGCAACGTCGGATCTCAGGCTGGTTGCGCCAGGGCGCGGCTTGCGATCTGCATCGGGGCATGGGGGGGACCACGCTACCCTCGTCGGGCCTCATCGGGGCGCGGCGGAGAACCCTGTCGGGGTCCTTGCCCGCCCCCCCCCCAGGCGCGAGTGGCACACCACACCCTGTCCAGAGGAGAAACATGGACCACCGCCACCGAGAACCCATCGATAGTGCGCCGACCTCTGGGCGGTGGCACGCCCGAGCGCCACCCAGCACAGGGCGACGCTCAAGCGTGCCACTTCCCAGGGGTCGGTCCTCGTCCGATGGATTCTCGGTGGCTGTGGTCCATAAGTTTCTCCTCTCGGCGGCGCGCCCCGGGGGGAAGAGAGGACGGGCGGGCCTTCTCGGAAGGCTCAGAAGTCCCTGGGCCTCCTGAGAAGTTTCTTGCGCCTTCCCCGAAGGTGCAGAAGACCTTTCAGAAGGCCGGGGGGCCTCTGAGAGGCCCCGCCGCCTTCTGAGAGGGTTTTCTCCCTTTCGCTTCCCTCCCTCGCTCGCCGCCAGTCCCCTGACCTTTGCAAGCCACGCCCTTTCGGAGTCGCCGAGAGGAGTGCGTGCTGGCAGCTACCGGGCGCCTGGAGCAGGGCCTGCGCGAGGATCAAGCGGGTGGCAATCCCAGACCCCCTCGCGCTGCGAAAAAAACACGAGGGGAGGTTTTTCGTTATTTTCGGTTTCGGGGGGCACTTACTGGGCCTTCGGACCGTCAAAAGACAAGTCAGGATGAAAAACTGGTCCAGGGAAGGGGTCCAGACCTCTCTGGAGGTCGACGCTGCGAAACAGAAACACGACGTCGGGGGTCTGAGGCGGAGGGGGACTTGAATGGGGCGAGAGGAAAAGGGCACCCTGTCGGGCCCTTGTCTTCATCTCCCCAAGCACGTTATACCCCTCGGCGGCGAGCCGGGGGGGGAAGTGAGAAGGAGAAGGCCTTCTCAGAAGATTCGGAAATCCTACGGCCTTCCGACAAGTGTTCTGAGCCTTCCCCGAAGACTAAAGAAGACTTCCCAGGAGGCGCGAGGGTCTCTGAGAAGTTCCGCCGCCTTCTGAGAAGGCCTTCTCCTGCTCACTTCCCCCCCGGGCGCGCCGCCGAATTTGGTTTGGGGGTCAGAACTCGGGTCGCCAGCGGCCGTTCGGGACCATCCGGGCACCCCCGGAACGCCCTCGGCGAGGCGCAGCTGCTGGAACGCCTCCCGAGGGCAGAAGACCGCCAAGAAACTACGGAAACGCCCGAAAACCTCGAAGTTCGAACCTCGAAGTTCCCCCCCTCGCTCGCCGCCGAAACCCCCCACCGACCACCCGCCCGAGAGGAGGGGCAGAGGCTCGCGGCCCTCGAGGCCGCGACGGCCGAGCTCCCGGGCCTGCGCGGCGCCGTCGCGGGCCTGGAGCGCGGGGCCGGGGACTGCGCCGAGAGCGTGGCGCGGGAGCAGGCCCAGCTCGGACGGGGCCAGGACGAGGATCGATCCGTTCCTCTGCGTCAGGCTCGTGTCGTGCCGACTTCGGCGTCGGTTTCTGACACCGCGGGGATCGTTCAACCTTGAACGATCGGCCGGTTCCGGAACGTCCAAATCGTTCCACATCGAACGATTCTGGCTTGCCCGCGGCGTTCAACGTTGAACGCCGCTGGCGGAGTCGCCGCCGGTCGACACGACACGAACTAAGGTTTTCCACTATTTTCGGCCTCCGTGGGCCTGGCCTCGGGACCGTCAAGAAGCGGCTCAGGACGAAGAGCCGGTCCCGAGGAATGGGTCAAGACCTCTGAACGAGCGCGTTCTGTGGTCGCTTGGAGGGGGGTGGGGGGTTTGAAACCGGACCCCCCCCCTTTCCTCCCGTGCTTCCCCTCTCCTCGAGCCGGCGCTTGCGGCGGCTGGCGGCGGCGGCGGGGACAACGATTTCTTTTTTGGGGCCGGCGCCGGCGCCTGCGGCGGCTGGCGGCGGCGGCGGCGGGGAGCGTCGACGAGGACGACGGTGGTGGTGGTGGTGGTGGTGGTGGTGGTGGTGGTGGTGGTGGTGGTGGTGGTGGTGGTGGTGGTGGTGGGTGGTGGTGTGTGGTGGTGGTGGTGGTGGTGGTGGTTTGGTGTGTGGCGCGGTGGTGGTGGTGGTGGGGTGTGGGGTAGTGTGCGTGGTGGGTGGTGGTGGTTGTGGTGGTGGTGGTGGTGTGTGGGTGGTGGTGGAATGTGGTGGTTTGCTGTGGTTGTGTGGTGGTGGTGGTGGGGTGGTGGTGGTGGTGGGTTAATGGTGGTGGTGGTGTTTGGTGTGGTGTGGTGGGGTGAGTGGTGGTGCTGGTGTGGTGGTGGTTTGTGGTGTGTGGTGGGTTGTGCTGTGGCGGTGGTTTGTGGAGGTGGTGCTGGTGGTGGTGGTGGCGGTGGTGGTGGTGGTGGTGGTGGTGGGTGGTGGTGGTGGTGGTGGTGTGGTGGTGGTGGTGTGGTGGTGGTGGTGGGTTGTGCTGCTGGTAGTGGTGGTGGTTGTGGCGGTGGTGGTGGTGGCGTGGTAGATTGTGGTGGTGGTAGTGGTGAGTTTTTATGGTGGTGATGGTGGGTTGTGGTGGTGGTGGTGGTGAAGGGCAGTTGCGGTGGTGGTGGTTGTGGTGGTGTGGTGGTGGTGTGGTGGTGGTTTGTGGTGGTGGTGATTGTGGTGGTGGGTGGTGGTGGCGGTGGTTTGTGGAGATGGTGCTGGTGGTGGTGCTGGTGGTGGCGGCGGTGGTGGTGGTGGTGGCGTGGTGGTTTGCGGCGGTGGCGGTGGGTTGTGCTGGTGATGGTGGTGGTGGTTGTGGCGGTGGTGGTGGTGTGGTAGATTGTGGTGGTGGTGGTTTGGTGGTGGTGGGTTTTGTGGTGGTGGTGGTGGTGATGGTGAGTTGTGGTGGTGGTGGCTGTAGCTGTGGTGGTGTGGTGGTGGTGAGGTGGTGGCGGTGGTTGTGTGGTGGGTGGTCGGGTGGTGGTGGAGGTTGAGCTTGGTGGTGGTGGTAGTGGTGGCGGTGGAGGTAGTGGTGTAAACGTCGCAGCGCCCCGCCGTCGCCGGCGCAGCGCCGGCGCAGGGGGGGGTTTGAACCCCCCCCCACCCCCTGCGCCCCGAAGGGGGGGGGTTGAAACGCCCCCCCTCCCCCCTTGGGCTGCCTCTGGTCATTGTCGCTGCGTCCCCGCCGTCGGCGCTGCTGGCGGCCGCCAGCGCTGGCGCCAGCGCCGGGGGGGGGGTTTGAGACCCCGCCCCCTTGGTGAGGGGGGGGGGGTTCGGGAGGGGGGGGTTGGGGGGGAGGGGAATCCCCCTGGTTTTGATCGACGGCGCCGAGTGTTGGGGGGGGCACCCCCCGCTTCGAAACGCGCCGCCGAATGTTCCCAAGGCAAGCGCCCGTGAAACGCGTTCTCTCAGACCTCTGGGGGTCGACGTTCTGGAAAAAATCATGCCGTCGGGGGTATGGTATCTAGGCCTCCTAGATGGGGTCCGAGTAGATGGGCTCGGCGCGCCGCATCGCCGACGTATCGACGATGCGGCCCGATGTGGAGCCCGATTTTCCGTCGCCGACGTCGCCGGCGCATCGCCGATACATCGGCGATACATTGGCGATACGGCGCGATCCTTCGACCCCACCCACTCGGACCCCACCAGCTACGAGGCCTTTTGTTCCATGGCGTTCCGGAACGCTCTGAGAAGGTCGCGACGCCCGAGTCACCCCGATCTGATCTTCGCTCTGGCTTCGCCTTACCGGCGGGCGAAAGAGTCGGCTGCGCGTAAGAGAGACCTTTCGCCGGAGTGACATTTCGTTCGGGTCCACAGCTGGGCCCGCCAGCAGCCGTCCGAGGGCGCCTCGCCCGCGCAACGAGGGCGCTTCGCCGCCCGCCCTCTCGCCCTCGGCATCTGTGCTACTCTTGGGCCTCGCGCCCAAGATCGCGCTTGGATGGCTTGCGTCTGGCCTCAACCGCGCCCCCCGACCGCCGCTCACCAGAGGTCACTCTTGCCCAGGGTCGCTCTTGCGCGCAGCCGAAGGAAGGACGTGCAGTCAAAATGGAGACTCCCGGGCATCTGATTAAGAGGCCTCCCCCCTAAAAGCTGGGCCAGCGTTTCTTGACCGGCTTGCCGGAAGGCTGGCCCAGTTTCTTGGGCATGTTCGCCCTTCCAGCGTTAGCAATAGAAGTTGGCCCCGGCTTGATCTGAAGACTTGTGGGGAGTTGGACCACACTTCTTAAATGATGGTTTTCTTGATTACATTCTTAGGCCGTCGTAAGGATGCGCGGTAAGGACGCAAGCCTTTTGTGCACCCACGTCGGGACTTTTCGAGCGGGGCTGGCCATCGAAAGAAGTGGTCAAGGCTGGACCGAAAACGCAAGGATCTAAGGGCACCCTCGAGAAGGCTTACGACCCATCCTTATCATCGGTTCCGACTGCACACGTGCATGAATTCACCTTGGTTTCGAAGGTACTCCAGATTTCGTAATAAAAGGGAGGGGGTCTGGACCCTCCAAGACAAGCCATTTCAGACCTCCCCCGTGGGAGAACCCTCCAAAACATCGTCCCCAGACCCCCCAGGCCCTCCAAGATAGCCTGGAACAGACCCCCCCCCGAAATGAGACCCCCCTCCCTTTATTACGAAATCTGGAGTACGCATTGCGCGAGCGTTCGTATCACGAGACTGGTCTCTCGGACTGGGGGGCCGTGTTCGGGCACGTGGCTGGGCGCGTACGTCCTTTGCGGGCTCCCTGCAGACCCAACGGGCGGCAGACACGCAAGAGCTGCGGCACCTGATCGAGGCCATCACCGCCGCCGAGCTGCGCGAGCGAGTAGAGAGGCTCGCAGAAGAAAAGCCGGCGTGAACATAAACTTTCGCAGCTCCGCGCGGATTTCTTGGGTCGGCGCGGGACCCCCCTTCCTGGAGTGCGGGGTGCGCCAGGAGCGGCGCCGGAGGCGCCGTCCACTGCGCAGATCCAAGAAGTCCGAGTGGAGCTCCAGAAGTGTACGCTTCAAAAAAGCATGTCCTTATACAGGAGAACATTCAATAATAGTAATATATATATATGGATAGATATAGATATATATAGACATACATACATACATACATACATACATACATACATACATACATACATACATACATACATACATACATACATACATGCATACATGCATACATGCATACATACATACACACATACATACATACATGCATACATACATACATACATACATACATATGTGCATACGTACATACATGCATACATACATACATACATACATACATACATACATACATACATATACATGCATCTATATATATAGTGTGGGACGATGTGTCTACTATTTGTGACTTTTGTGGTGTATTTTTTGATCATTTATAATTTTTCGTCCAGAGTCCCCCTGTAGGAGGACATGCCCGACCTAAGTGTGCGTATCTTCACGCAGTGTGTTCGTCTTCGGGAGGCTGGAAGCCGCCAGGCTGGAGACCGTCAAGGCATTCGAGGCCGCCGCCGTCGCCGCCACGGCGCCATCGAGCCCGGCTGCCCGCAGCTCATCGGGCGCGGCGGCGGCGGAGGAGGTCCGTTGTGTATTACAGTGGTACAGTGGGAGCGCGCATCAAGAAATTATGTGTTTTTCTTAGGGGAAAGAAAAATTACATAAGTACATGAACATAAAACTCGGAGGTCCGCGCGGATTTCTCGGATCACCGCTGGGGCCCCCCTGGTGGCGCCTCTTGCGCCGTCCTTGGCGCGCAGGGGGGTCCAGCGCGGATCCGAGAAATCCGCGCAGACCTCCGAGTTTTCACGTTTATGTCATTCCTCGTTCCCCTAAATATAGTCGGAGCGCGCATCAAGAAACCATGTGCTTTTCGTCGGGGGATCTTGCTTGGGTTTCTTCGCTCCGCGAACTGCAGGGTGACTTCCCGCAGCCGTCGAAGAGGCTGCTGCGTTCAGGGAGCTATGGGTGTCCCCTGAGGTGCACCTCGCCCGAGGGTTTTCAGGGTTAGGTTTCTTGCGAGGATTTCTTGCGGCCGCGCCCGCACTGTATCCGACCCCTAGCCAAGCCTCCAGGTCGGTTTTGGAGGTCGCGCGCCGATCGCGGCCGCCACAAATTGGGGCAAGGCTTCTGGCAAGGAGTGGCATGCTCCTTCCCAGCCCCCCCTCTCGCTTTGCGGTGTAGACGTGGCTCTTAAGTGAACATATAGCGAAAGAAAGTTGCGAATGTATGTCCAACATGGGCAGGCACGTTTTTCCCAACCATCCTGTGGTGTTGGGCCCTCGTTTTAAAGAGACAGCGCCCCGCGTCTCTCTCCTCTCCTCTCCTCTCCTCTCCTCCTCCTTCTCCTCCTCCTCCTCCTCCACCACCTCCTCTTCCTCCTCCTCATCATCAGATCATCAGCATCATCATCCCCCTCCCCTTCCTCCTCCCTCTCCTCCTCCCCCCCCTCCCCCTCCCCTTCCCCCTTCCCTCTTGCCCCTCCCCCTCCCCCTCCCCCATCCCGTTCCCCCTCCTCCTCCTCCTCCTCCCCTCCTCCTCCTCCTCCTCTCCTCCTCCTCCTCCTCCTCCTCCTCCTCCTCCTCCTCCTCCTCTTTCTCCTCCTCCTCCGCCTCGTCCTCCTCCTCCTCATCTCCTCCTCCTCCTCCATCCTCCTCCTCCTCTCTCCTCCTCCTCCTCCTCATCATCATCATCATCCTCATCCTCATCCTCATCCTCCTCCTCCCTCCTCCCATTCCTGCCTCTGCCCTCCGCGGCACACCCCTCGCACGCTTCGTGGCCCCATAGGGAGCTTCACCGAAGACCCCAGCGGCAGGGTCCGCCTGGCGCACCCGCACCCGATTCGGCGCGCCTCATCACACGTTCCGTGGCCCCATACGGTGCCCAACCGAAGGCCCCAGCAGTTGGGTCCGCATGGCGCACCCGCAGTTAGTTCAGCACACCCCTCACACGGTTCATGGCCCCACAGGTTCGCTTCACCGAAGGCCTCAGCGGCAGGGTCCGCATGGCGCACCCGCGCCCGATTCGGCACACCCCTGACACGTTCCGTGGCCCCATAGGTTCGCTACATGAGAGGCTTCGGCGCACCCGCACCAGGTTCGACACACCCCTCAAACCTTTCGTGGCCCCGAAGGGAGCTCCACCGAAGGCCCCAGCGGCAACGTCCGCATGGCGTACCCGCACCCGGTTTGGCACACTCCTCAAACGTTCCGTTGATTTTTAGGGAGCTCCACCGAAGGCCCCAGCGGCAAGGTCAGCATGGTATACCCGCAACCTAGTCAGCACACCCCCCACACGTTCCGTGGCCACATAGGGAGCTACATCGACGGTCCCAGCGACAGGGTCCGCAGGGCATACCCGCAACCGATTCAGCACACCCCTCACACCATTCGTGGCCCCGAAAAGAGCTCCAGCGGCAGGCGGCAGGGTCCGCATGGCGCACCCGCACCCGATTCGGCATACCCCATCACACGTTCCGTGGCCCCATTGAGCTCCACCGAAGGTCCCAGCCGCAAGGTCCGCATGGCATACCCGCAACCAATGTGGCACACCCCTCAAACCTTTCGTGGCCCCGAAGGGAGCTCTACCGAAGGCCCCAGCGGCAGGGTCCGCATGGCGCACCCGCACCCGATCCAGCACACCCCTCACACGTTTCGTGGCCACAAGGAGCTCCACCGAAGACCCCAGCGGCAGGGTCCGCATGGCGTACCCGCAACCGATTCGGCACACCTTTCACACGTTCCGTGGCCCCCTAGGGAGCTCCACCGAAGGTCCCAGCGGCAGGGTCCGCATGGCGTACCCGCACCTGGTTCAGCACATTTCTCACACGTTTCGTGGCCCAATAGGGAGTCCCACCGAAGGCCCCAGCGGCAGTGTCCGCAGGGCGCACCTGCATCCGATCGGGCTCACCCCTCACGTGTGCCGTGGCCCCATAGGGAGCTCCATCCAAAGCCCGAGTGGGGAGGTCCGCATGACACACACGCTCCATGACGGCACACCCCATCATTCCTCCCCCCTGCTCTTCAGTTGCCTCGCGGTACCAGCAGTTTCACGTGGTTGGGCTTTTCGCTTGTTAATTTGGTTTGAGGTCGATTATCACGCAGCCAGAGGTGGCGGAGCTCCGCCGCGCCGTGTGCGAGCTGCGGGAGGACTGGCAGCGGCAGGCCCAGGGCCTCAGGGAGGAGCAGAAGGTCGAACAACGAACAAAAATGATAAGCAGTGAACTGAACTTCCAGCGCCGTTGCGATCGGTAGCGCGGCCTGTCTTCTTCACGTCAAGTTTACGTGTTGACTCATGGAGTTCAGACGCGTGGTGGTTGTCATAAGTTGGTAAGCCTTCATCACCATTCTCGTGCAGACACACGAAACCAAAATGTTAGCCATTTGGGACCTCAAACAGTGTGTTTATAGCAATAGTTGTTGCACAATGTGGTGCAACCTATGTTGCGCAATATGTTGTGTGCAATCTGGGTTGTGAATCTATGGTGTGTAATATGTTGTGTGGATTTATGTTGTGCAACCTATGTTGTGCAGCGCGCCAATATGTAGTGTTGCAATATATCCGGGGCAATCTATCTGGGGCAATCTATCTGGTACAACCTGCGTTGTGCAATATATTACCGCATAGACCACCCTTCGGGTGATAAGGAGGCGAGGGGGGGGGACCACCGTCGCACTCGATCGATCTCACTATCGATCTCGCTATCGATCTCATTATCGGTCTCATTCGATCAATCTCACAATCGATCTGGCTATCGATCTCACACTCGATCTCACTAACGATCTCACTATCGATATCACAATCGATCTCACAATAGATCTCACAATCGATCTGGCTATCGATCTCACGATCGATCTCACATTCGGTCTCACGATCGATCTCACTACCGATATCACTATCGATCTCATTCGATCGATCTCACAATCGATCTCACAATCGATCTCACATTCGGTCTCACTATCGATCTCACTATCGATATCACAATCGATCTCACAATCGATCTCACAATCGATCTGACTATCGATCTCACTATCGAACTCACTATCGAAGTCATGATCGACCTCTCGTTCGATCTCACTATCGATCTCACTATCGATATCACAATCAATATCACAATCGATCTCACATTCGGTCTCACTATCGATCTCACTATCGAACTCACTATCGATCTCACTATCGATCTCACATTGGGTCTCACTATCGACCTCACTATCGATATCACAATCGATCTCACAATCGATCTCACATTCGGATCTCACTACCGAACTCACCATCATCACCACCATCATCATCACCATCATCATCATCGTTGTCAACATCATCATCATCATCATCATCATCATCATCATCATCATCATCATCATCATCATCATCATCATCATCATCATCGTCATCATCGTCATCATCGTCATCATCGTCATCATCATCATCATCACCGACGGGACACCGACGGGACACTGGCGGGACACCGCGGGGCCCCGGCCGCCCAGAAGGGAATCATTTGATCCGGCCGCGCCTCAGCCACACGGGACACCAGCGGGACACCGGCGGGACACCGCGGGGCCCCGGCCGCCCAGAAGGGAATCATTTGGTCCGGCCGCGCCTCAGCCACAGGAGACTTTCTCTCGCCCGCCCACGCAGCTTCGCCTCGCCCGCACGCACGGCACGCACGAACACGAAACCGAAATCGATTTCCCGGTAGGGGGGCTCTCCGTTCCACTTCGATCTCACCCCCTCACCTCCGATTCATATAGCGGGGAAGCGGGTCCAGGGGCCCCCAGACAAGTCCCCCGACCACAAGCGTGTGGACCGGGCTGCCCGGGGCCCTGCAGCGCGCCGGAGGCCCTCCAAGGTCGCCCGAAGACGGCCCCAGACTCCTGGAAAACGCGCTTCGGGTCCACCAAAACGGCCCATGACGGCCCCAGATTGGCGAGAATTGGCGCCGGACTGTCCAAGAGGCCTCCAAGACGGTCCCAAGAGGCTTCCGCGAGGCTTCCGAAGATCGTCCACGAGACCTCCCAAGAGGCAAAATTCATTCATGTATCGAGAGTGTTTGAGAGATTGTAGTTGTCTCGCCTCTTCGGCTTCCCAACGCTCCCAGGCGGCCCGAGACGCCTCCAAGTACGCCCCAATGCTGCCCAAGAGGCTCTCAAGACAGCTCCAAGACGCCCCGAGCGACGTGATAGCATGGCGACGTCTACAACTGCAGACACAATGATGATAGTAGCGATGTTGGTAAGTGACGAGCCCATGACGGCGCCGATGTTGATCACGCCGATGACGATGACGGTGTCCTCGCGTCGGTCATGAAGGTTTTGGAAGGATTTCGACATGCGCGCGCGGCCGACGCGAGCGAGTGATCCGCATGGCGTTCTTTGACAGGGATCGTCACCCCCCCCCCAAGCACGCGCGCAAGGGCGTTCGAATGATTTCGACATGCGCGCGCGAAAGGCCTGTTGGGGGTCGGATTTGATGAACATGTTGAAGGACAGATGGTGTTCTGTAAAAGCGCGTGCGTGCAGATTTTCAAAATTATCCTGGCGAAGGACCAAACCATATGCATTTGTGAATACCGTCGTTGCGGGTATCGCCTTCGGGGAATCTCCTCATGGCGCCATGAAGCATGCGAAGGGTGTGCCGTTGTGCGGCGGGGCCGCCATCTGGGGGCTGCCACTCGTGCTTTAGGCGGAACACACTACAGGGCCGCGAAAAGTGTGAGGGGAGCGCCGCCATGGGGCGGGGCCGCCTCTGGCGCCTTCGGTGGAGCTCCCGATGGGGCAACGAAGCGCTGTACTGGGTGGGGGATCGCATGCGATTACAGCCACTGGGGCCTGCCTCCGGTGGACATGCGAGTGCAGCCACTGAGGCCTTCGGTGGAGCTCCCTATGGGGCCACGTACCGCTGTGCTGGGTGGGGGTGACGCATGCTGGCGGTGCCACTCTGGGTCTTTCGGTGGAGCTCCCTATGGGACCACGAAACGCTGTATTGTGCGGGGGTGACGCATGCGGGCGGTGCTACTGGGGTCTTCGGTGGAGCCCCCCATGGGGCCGCAAAACGCTGTACTGGGTGGGGGTGACGCATGCGGGCGGTGCCACTGGGGCCTTCAGTGGAGCTCCCTATGGGGCCACGAAACGCTGTACTGGGAGGAGGAGGAGGAGGAGGAGGAGGAGGAGGAGGAGGAGGAGGAGGAGAGGAGGAGGAAGGAGAGGAGAGGAGAGGAGAGGAGAGGAGAGGAGAGGAGAGGAGAGGAGAGGAGAGGAGAGGAGAGGAGAGGAGAGGAGACGCGGGGCCCTGTCTCTACAAAACGAGGACACCACAGGATGGTTGGGAAACAACTCATGTTACAAAACCCGTGGTTGTTATATGTTTTCGGGGCCGTCGATTTTGAAATCCATGCCACACCCAAGCTTGATGGATTTCGGCATGCGCGCGCGAAGACGCGCGCGTGTGGAGTCCGCCCCATTTTCTGCAAGGAATCACTGCAAGATGCCGATGTTTGAGAAACGAGTGCGTGCGCATTGTTTTGTTGCAGGGGAAGATACAGGCCTAGTTGGAATGGTGTGGCTTCGTATGTAAACTCGACGATGAGGCAGAATCATGTGTACATTGCAGTACGCGAGGCCAGACGGAAAATCCCGACGGGGGTAGATCCGAATTCTCTTCTAGAAGGGAAAATATATGTAGTGCAATCCCTGCTGTGCAATCTAGGCGGCGACGGGATGGGCGGCGACGGGGCGGCGACGGCGGCCACATAGCCGCCACACTGACGACACGGCCCAGACAACGGGCGGCGATGGGGCGGCCACATAGCCGCCAGACCAAAGACACGGCCCAGTTCATGAAAACAGAAACGAGAACCCCTTAGTGCAAGCATTGTTTGGGAAAATAATCCGACATGCTGGGCTCTCTGCGTGGATTTCTTGGGTCTGCGCCTGGGTCCCCCTGGCGGCGCCTCCAACGCCGCCCCTGGCGCGCTCCGCGCACAGGGAGGCGGGTCCAGGGCCGATCCACGAAGCCCGCGATGACCTCCGAGAATTTCTGTTTGTGCCCTTGTCTTGATCCTCTGGAAGGAGCGGTTCCTGCAGGTGGCGGGCATCTGCGGCGTGGTCGAGGGCGTGGGCGCGGCGGCGGCGGCCACGCTGGCGCGCGCGGAGCGGAAGATGGCAAGCGCGGCGCCACAGGCCGACAGTCCCGCGAAGCTTTGCGAGGAGCTGCCCTCGCAGGCGAACAGCAGGCCGTGGCTGCCCCTGATACGCCCGCTTTGAAACGCAACACGTACCGTGTTCAAAACGTCTGTGTGAACACGTTGCGTGTTGGCTCGGCTACGTGTTGGGTCGAGTTTGGGCGAACGTATCGCGCCAGACCTGCGTTTACAGTCTACGTGTTGAGTTCCGTGTCAACACGCCGCGGGTTGCGTGTTGCGTATCGAGGCAGTTAAGACAGGCTAATCTCGGAGCTCAAGGAGCAGTTGCAGTCTGACGCGAGCCTGGCAATCGCCACTCTGAAGAAGGAGATAAAGCAAGCCAAGGCCGACCTGTCGGAGCGCGTGTGGAAGCTCGAGCGGGTCCGCGACCGGCCTGCCGCAATCGAGCCAGACGATGGCAGCAGCGCAGACGGAGAGCTCCAGTCCCGCTTCGAGTGCCTTGAGTCGGAGACGAAGCGCACCAATGACCTGCTGATGGCGTTCCTCCGATCCACAGACCAGCAGCAGAGCGAGGCCATGGCCACAACGATCCCTGGCACGCACGCGATCACTCCAGCCCGATTGCAGGCCGCGCCCACACAACGAGCCGCCGCCCCCGAGCCCATCGTCGGTGAGGCCAGCGGTCTCGCCAAAGGCGCTTTTTCTGGCGCGGCCCGCGCCACCGCCGCCTCTACCACCGCCGCCGCCGCCGCGGTGGCCCCCCAGGCCACGACGGTGACGTCACTGCGGTCGGCGAACGCCGTGCCCGCGCCAGCGTGTCAAGTCACCTCAACCAGAATAGCCAACACGGCGCCGCCTGTCCGTGCCCAGGGGGGTGTCGCGCCAGCGCCAGCTGCCGTCTCTCAGGCAGGGTCAGCGCTGGCGCCAGTGACCAGTGCGGCACGGCTTGTCCGCGCTTCCAGCGCCTCTCAGGTCACAGCCCGAAGCATTCAAGGAGCGCCCGAGCCGACAGCCGCTGCGTTGCGGGCCACGGCCAGGCCGACGGCCGCTGCACCTCGGGCCATCGGACCCTCGGCAAAGGCACACGCAGGAGCTCCGGCAGAAGCCCCCCTGGACCCGGCGCAGACAAGCACGCCCCAGCGGGGCTTGCCGTGGCCCGCGGCGGCGACGGCGCCAGGCCAGGACGGGCAGGCGAGAGGCGCTCCCCCAGCGGCCAAGCCCGCCGGCTGCGCCCCGATCACCGACCGGCGGCCCTCGCTGCAGCAGCAGCCGCGCTCGCACGTCGCACGGAGCGCGGCGGCCGCGCAGCCGCCTATGGCCACGGCCACCGCGGCGACCTGCGCGGGCGCGGTGCCGCTGCAGCAGGTGGGGCCGCACCCTGCCCAGCGGAGCGCGGCGGCCGCGGAGCTGCCCGCGGCCACCGCCGCAGCAGCCTTCGCGGGCGCGGCACCGCTGCAGCAGCGCGCTGCCCGCTAGTCGGGGAGCTCTGTCGTCCACCGAGCCCTTCAGGGGCAACGCCAGGGGGGGTAAGCTCAGAGGGGGGCGCTTCGACCCCCCATCGCCCACACATCGCAGGCAGGGGCCCGCCAGCCCGCCCCGCCCAGCAGCGTGTGGCTTCGCTATCGGGGGCCCATCGCCGATCCATCGGCGACGTGTCGCCGGTTCCAGCTCGATATTTCTCCCCTGAGTCGGTCCCCCCCTAAGGTTGCCCCTCGGCCCTCTGGAGTCTCGGGACGCCCCAGCCTGGAGCGACTCGCCGCCCGTCCGCTCCTGCTCCGCATGCACAACCACCCTCCTCCTTCCCGATCATCATCCTAGCCTTCATCCATTTCATCCACTCATCCTCCTCCTCGCGCACCCCTCCTCATTTCAAAGATGGTCAGGGTCGATGAAATCTCGGCATGCTGAATTTCGACGGCGACAACTAGAAGAGAGACGTTCCTCACCTCACCCGCCTCAGCATTGTCGCCATCAGCTGCTGGCGCTTGAACGCAAAGCGGCTCTCGGGCCTCCCCTCGCCAAGCGCATGGTTCTCAGTGGCAGTAAGGCTACCGGTGACGAGTTCGACGTTGTTTCTGATCAGTGAAGCTTGCACGAGAGGCTCCTGGAGCACTGGGCACCGATCTTCCATGCCAATCCGATTGACAGAGAACTCGCTTCTGCCGACATCGCGGACAACGTCAGTGCGAAGGACTTTTCGCAGATCGTCCTGCCTTCTCCTGGCCTACTCAAGAAGATCACGCGCAAGTCTCCCCACTCGGAACCGGGCCTGGATGGGATACCTTACTCGACATGGTGTGTGTTCGGAGGTTTGTTTCGACGTCCTGTCCGATGCTCTCATGTGAGCGACGCAGAAAGACAAGGTCGTCTTCGCCGACATTGGCGCATACGTTGCCCGCGCAATGTCGCGCGTAAGTTCCCTCGTCTTCATTGTGCCGTGGCGCTCTGGTGACCCGCGTAAGCCAGCGCACAAGGTCGCCACGCCGTCTCGCGGAGGACCCGTTTTTGATCGTCGCCCATGTGGTTCTATTTGGCCAATCCCTGCTCACGATCGGCGGCGCGCCCTGGGGGGAAGCGAGGAGGAGAAGGCCTTCTCAGAGTGCTCGGAAGTCCCCCCCTGCCTTCTGAGAAGTGTTTCGGGCCTTCCCGGAAGACACCTCAGACCATTTAAATCTACCAGATCTTCCCGATGCGCACTTCGTCCAGGAATGACGTACTCTACACCGACGACACGTTGCTCCTTGATGCTGATCCCGTCGTTGTGGGCGAGCTTATGGCGCGCGCCGAGAGCTGCGGCAAGCATTACGGTTTGAGTTTGACCGGAAGAAAGTGGAGTTGATGAAGGTCCGCTCTAACGCGCGCCTGCAGAACAGCGCCAGAGATCAAGTGCAAGAACAGGAAGCGCTGACTTGCTTCGGCACCCAGCTCGCGTCGGACGGACGATGCGGATCTGAGCTGAAGAGGAGAATCGGCATGGCCAAACAAGATTTCAAAGCATTGAAATCGGTGCGGTCGCATTCCTCGTTGAGCAGAACGAGGAAAGTAGCAATCTTCAACGCGCGCATTGTCTCCAAGCTAGTGTATTGTCTATTTGCAGCTCGTCTCAATCAGGCAGAACATACAAGAATTGACGGCTTCCAGGCACGCTGCTTGAGATCTAGATTTCGGGTCCCAGCTGGTTAGATCAGTCGCGTGTCGAACAGCGGTGTGCTAAAAGTGGCCGGCGAAAGGCCGCTCAGCGAGCTCATCGTCAAATGATTGATGGTTTTCTTTGGGTAGTTCGCTAGACGCACGGGCAACGATCCAGTGAGACAGCTGGTATTTGAACCAGGCAGTCTAGCTGTCAAGCAGCCGACAGGTCCCCGGAAGAGAGGGCGTCCCCGGCAAATATGGGGAAGAATTGTCAAGAACAGTTGCTTGGACGTTGCTAGCACCCTTGCCCAGCTTGCTGACTACTTCCGCCCAGAGGGCGGTGCAGCGCCTGCATGGGAGTCAGCTGTCCGCGCATGGCACCTGTGATTTTTGCCCCCCCCTCGCTCGCCACCGACACGAAGTCGAGTGACACCCTCCAGGCCTGGCTTCCCCAGGGAGACGAGGCTGCTGACCCTACCACTGCGGGGTGGGTCGGCGCTCACCTTCTGCCTTTCCGCGTGCTTGCGGCTTCCACACTATTCGACCCCAAGGTCATCAGCGCCACAGCGAATACCAGATGCAGCTCGCAACGCTCAAACAAATCGGATTCAGCCAGAAATTGTCAAAGAACATGTTGCACCAACCACGGAAGGTTTTTTAAAACATTCTACAAGCCAGCCAGGACGCTTCGCCATTGTTTGGCCCACTTCCCCTTGGGCGCACCGCCGACAGGAGATGGCGGGCACATCTCGCCCGAGCTTCGCGACCGCAGCTGGGCTCCGAGGCCATGACTTGAATTCATTCCTCGGAGGAACTCTGGCGTCAGCGTGCTCGAACTGGACGCAGCAAGAAGGGTCTACTACAATGCGACCGCATCCTGCACATCGTACCATGTGTTGGCTGTTGCTCTTGACTTTGGTGCTGGCTTCCCCAGCCTCTTGCTGGAGTTCATGCGAATGGTCTTCCACGCCATGGACGTGCCTCGCGCCTTGTCTTCCGCCATCGACTAGTTCCACGCATCGCTAGAAGCCGCGGCGATGATCAACAGTGTCCCCACACACGCACTCGCATAGTTCGGCGGCGAGCGCCGGGGGGAAGTGGCAAAGGGCGGGCCTTTTCAGAAGGCTCGGAAGTCCCTCCCCCGGCCTCCTGAGAAGTTGTCCTAGCCGTCCCCGAAGGCACAGGAGGTTGTTCCGAAGGCGCGAGGTCTTCTGAGAAGACCCGCCGCCTTCTGAGAAGGCCTTCTCCTCCTGACTTCACCCCCTCGCTCGCCGCAGGGCTGCGCCCTCCGTAGATCGATCTATGCTGCCCTCGCGGCGCCCCTCTTCGCGCCCCTCCAAGAGTCGCGGCTCGAAGCCTCTCGCGCGGGCCTGCGCCGACGGCACTGGGCGCAGTCGTTCGGGACGCGTGCTCTCTCGACACCCTCGCCGACGCCATGCTTAACTCCATGCCCCCGATGATAAAGCCTACTCCCCCCCCCTGTGTCACGATCCTCCTGGGCGCGAGCACTGCTGTTCTTCAGCGGCGGGCGGCGAGGCCGAGTTTCATCATCGCCGCGGCAAGTACCCCCAGGACCCCGAACTGTATAATCCCGTGGGGGTGAATATCGGGGGGGGCGCTCCGCTACTGCGGGGAAGGTGGCCACGCTTTCGCTCCAAGCTTCCCAAGTGCAATTTCGCCCCCCTCCACGCGCCTTGCTCCGACGAGGTGTGCGTCCACATCCGCTCGACCCTTGCTATTCATGTCCCGTTCTTCGAGAAGATACAGACCGTCGAATTGCTGGTCGATGTTTGTGTTGTCATTGGTCCCGCGGCGGATAGCTCGTCGTGCGCGGCAGCGCCTGCCCTTAAGATACAAGCTCGTGTCAAGTCAGTCGGCAGCTGACCCAGCACCACATCCATGATCGCCAACAATTTCAGCATGAGGGTTACCACTGTTTTGCCCTACGAGGCGCAATTCCGAATGATGCCAACGTGGTTCCTCAAGGATGAGCGCCTTGCTTTTTTCTCGCTGTTTGCGTCTCCCACTTGGGGTGTTCAGCAGGCGGGCTTGGCTCCAGCTCACGATGGCGTCAGGCGCGTCTGTGCCGTCATGGCACCCTGCACGGGTTCTCTCTTTCGCACTGCTCATCAAACCTTATTTGAAAATGCCCGCCTCTACGAGTGGACGTTCAAACCTGGCGCCCTCCCTGGGGATCACCAACCTCTGGACCAGGTCGCCAGCGGCAAGCCCCACCCATCTCTCCGGCGCAGCGAGGCTTTCATCGAGACCCTCACCGCGCGGCATTTGGCACCACTACTCCGTTTATCCCTGCTTATTCGGCGTCGCTGCTGGCCACGGCCAATGAGTCCGCCAGCGAGCGGTCGCAGGCCCCAAGGCTTGCATGGGCCTTCGGCGCTCTGGCACTCGCAGTGCCAGGTCAGCACTAACGCCACTTCCATTGTGGAACTGTTTCGTTGCGCAAATGGTCGCAGCTTTCCCCGACATGCACGAATGTGCGTTTTCCCGTGTTCCTGCAAAGCGGTGAAGGCACATATGCAAGTACACATGCGGTTGTTTTGTCTTCAAGGCATTTGCTTACATCGAGACCTAGGGAACGGCTGGATTATTTTTGTCTGCATTACTGGTGGACGTGGCCGGCTTCCACGCAGATCCGGATGGGTCCAGCAACACGACGAGTTCCCCCACTACCTCGCTTGTCCCATCTTCAAGTTCCACATTGAGGAGGTCCTCGGCTTCTCCGCGACCCACTCACCCACTCGGCAGACTTGGCCTGCTCGGCAACGTGGTTAAGCTGGACATGATTATTCTCGGCATCGCGGTGATGCACTACGCCTACGCCTACATCGGCGCGACCAACGCCATCCATATAGGCATCTGGTGCGCCGAGTTCGTCGCGCCCCGCGTCAAGGCCGGTCTTCGGCCTGCAGTTTTGGGCGCTGCCTCTCAGGCCCGCGCACCGCCGCTTTCTCGCGCGCGGGCACCCCCAGTTGCCTATTGCGCCTGTTCAAGCTCAACTTCCCCATCTTCTTCCCCTCTGGCGGCAGCTAACACAGCTTGCAGAGCAGCTTACCGTGCTGTAGCGACTTGGGGCGATCGCCCTCGTCATCCCCGTGCTCGCTCTCTCCGTCGCCCTGCTCGAGCCCTCCTCCGCTCTTCAGATCCGCCGGCCGTTCGCGCCCCCCACGCTCGCAGGGGGGCGGGCAAGCACCCCTCCCCCCCTCAGCGACCGCAGGGCCATCAAGATCGGGAAGCCTGGCAGGCACCCAATCACTTGCAAGGATATGCTGAGCACTGGTTTTTCCTGACAGAAGGCGAGGCGTGGACTGATCTCGACGACTGGATCGACTGGCGCGTTCCGCACTTGGACGTGCTCCTCGACAGGCCGACTTTGACCACTCCCCATTCGAGGGCCTGGCCCCCCCCCAACCCGCGCGCCCAGCAACCTGCGGCTCAGGGCATGGCACACTCGCGAGGCGGTCTGGTCGCGCGCGCCCATCGCCAGGAGGCGGCCCATGTCTGCGACGTTTCTCGACTGGCGCCGGCCCGTTGGCAGATCGCCGCAGACCTGCACTCAGCAGCACTCAGCTCCCGTCGGCAGCACAAGCAGATCAGAGGCCCAACCAACCCGACGCGACGCCACCTCTCAGCATCGGGATTCACGCATCGATTGCCACTGGTTGATCAAGTTCGGCCCAATCATTTCGACGGCAGCCCGCCCGACCCCCTCCCCGCCCCCCTTGATCCCGACGACAGCGGCGCGGATGACGACGATCTCGCCAAGGTATCCGCAGCTCGCGGTTTGGTGGCGCCTCCCACGCAACCACCGTCGCAGAAGTTTTGCCACGTCATCTGCAGCAGCCCCGCCAGCCACCTCGAGCGCGAAATCTGCAGATGCTCTTGCTCTGTTGGCGGCTCCTCTGCATCAGTGGCCCTGCGGCGCCACTTACGACGGCCGTCGACGGCATGCTCTCTCGCGCTGCTTGCTCTGGCCAGGAGGGCGAGCGCGACAGCTGTGCCCTGCTCAAGGGAGCACTTCGCCGCATAGCTGAACAGCGGACCCCCGCACCACATCGACCAGGGTGGACACATCTCCCCAGCTCAACACTGGCTTGCACTGTGCGCCCCGCTCGCGAGGAACCAGCTTCAGCTCGCAGCATATGCCCACATCTTCCCGAGTGACGCGAACGAAGAGCACCCTTCGCCATGCGATGCCTCGGCGCTGGAGCTTGGCGAGGATGCCTGGCAGTCCTGCGAGGCTGAGAGGGCAGCGCCCATAGTTTCCCAGGATATATTGCCCCAGACCAACGCCCAGCTGAAAGTGACAGGCGCCGCGCCAGGCACGAGTGCTTCCGCGTTTGGCACCCTCTGGGGTTGGTGCCCAGGCCCATTTTAGTTTTTAGTATTTCTTATTTCTCTTACGGTGCGAGCTCGCCTAGGATTTTTGTCTTCGACCGCGCTGAGGGCGAGATCGACTTTGGCGGCCTGGGCCAACGCGCTGAGAGGGCGCGCTGCTCACGCACGGATCGGGCAGCTACTCGGGCGACCGATTGGCTTCCCTCCATTTATTTCGTCACGGACGGCCCCAGGGACTTCCAGCCATGGCTCGAGTGGTGCACCGATTACGTCCACTGGGGTCCCAGCTGGGCTCAACACATCGCACGCGCGAGGCCGCACCAGGTTTTCAGCTGGGCTCGGCGGGAAGCCTCGTGCCGCTCTTTGTCTTCACCGCCCGGCCACAGCCCGAGCTCCCCCGGGGGGTCTCGCAAGCGCCCCTCGATTGCCACCGGCGAAGGCCTTGAGTACCCCGCGCCTACAGCGGCGGACATCGCGGCTGTGGACCAACCGATTTTGCCAGCGGCGGCGGTGAGACAGTCTCGCCTGTTCGAGGGGAAGTATTCTTGTTCTTGCCTACCATCATCAGCAGCATCGTCATCATCATCGCCAGCTTATCGCCATCAGCATCAGCATGAACAACATCACCAACAGCATCAGAATCACACCATCATCAGCGTCATCATGATCACCATCACTGTCATCACAATATTGGTTCCAGGCCGATCGGGCGCCGCGCGTCGGCCGCTCTTCTACGTATGCGCTGTTGCGCTGCTCGGCTTCTGGCCAGGCAGCTTCCCTATCAAAGCTGACCACGGCATGCCATTCCAATAACTACCACGACATCAACAAGGTCGTTCTCACTGTGCGCTCTGGTTCGCACCATCGGGTGAGCAAGGCCGCGACGGATCAGGGTCAAGAAACCTTATGCGTGCGATTGACGGCCCCGAAGCTTGCGATGGTGTGCCGCCGCTCCCCGCTGTCCTGGCAGCCTCCGCCGACGTCGTTCGCCAGCTCCTCGAAGAGCACGACGAGAGAGCCACAGCGACCATCGCCAGCGATCTCAACGGCCACAACACGAAAACAAGCTCTCTTTTTTTTCCTAGAGCGTCCCAACCTGCGCGGCGGGAAGTGGCAATCAACCTACCCCAGTCCGGAACCAGAAAGTGAAACCAGAAGGCTGCAGCTGGGACTCAGGAGTCAACAACACGAAAACAAGCAACCCATCGGCCACATGCTCAAAGATTGCGGCGTCATGCTCCAGACCCGCATTCAAAAGCTGAACCTTCGCCAGCGCCCCCAGACCAAACACTTCCTCGTATACACCCAACGTGTGAACAAAGTTCAGGAACAGATGGCTCACGTCATCGCCGACCTTTAAGAGCCCCACCAACGCTGCCAAAAAGCAAGAATGGGCCACCCCAGAAAACATCGCCGCCAGCAACGACGATGCCGTCCTTGACCAGTCCGTCCTCAAGGTCCGCGCCAACGGGTTTTGTTACAAGACCGCCGTGTGGCACGCCTTCCTCCACTTCTTCGAAGTCGCCACGGCCACCGGCACTGCATGGCCGCAGGCAGGCCGCAGTCTGAAGGCCTGCTTCCGTGGGGTCAGCGCCGCCACGCCCGCCACCAGGGCATACACGACACCCGACGGAAGGACGGGGAGTGGTGCGAACTCAACCGTGCGTCTGCTGGTGGACACGGAGCCGCTGGCATCCACGTCTGTCCAACGAAGAGCGCCAGAACCGAAATGTAGGCAAAGACTCTTGCGCCATCGCCGCAAAGCCATCGCAGCTGCGCGTCCCGGGGATGCAAACCAGCTTCGCCTCGACGGGGCGGATTCCCCGCCAAGGTTGGGTGGAAACGCTACGCTGACTACCTCAAGCTGGGGGAGTGCTGCCCACAGCACTGTGTCGACTCCCCCCGCAGATGCGTTTCCACTCGTTGTCCTCCTCCGTTCCCCCTCCCCCTCTGCATCCTCCATGTTACGTTTCCCATCCTTCCCCCTTCTATTTTTCTTCATCCTCCGTACTCATCCTCATCCGCATCGGCTCGAACCTAGTCTGCGTGTCCTGTTGCCCGAAGGGGGCTGATAAACTCTACGTCCAGCCCCAGCTGGCACCAGATCTCTCTATCCGGATCCTGCAGGTACCCCCACGGTGCACCTCGATAGATGGGCCGAGTGGCACGAAACAGGGGGGCCATTGCCTCTGGCAAGTCTCGCTGGCTCTCCCACCCCAATCAATTCGCATGGCCACACCTAGCCTTTGGGAGGACATCCTCAAAGAGGCTGGAGGTAAGGACATGACATAATACAGTGGTATACATCTTGGCGCGGCCAGTGCAACACAGACTGTCCGCGTCCACTCCCTGCGACATTTCGTGCTGATGCTATGAACCGCAAAGGCGGGACAACTTACGATGCGAAATACGACAGTGAACAGAAAGCAGGGTTGTCCTCGTCTTATAGTCAGCTCCGTACACGCCCTGACGCATGTCGGCTTTGTAATAGTGGGGCTTGCCAGCTTCCAGCACGAAGCGCATAGCGCAAAGACATGATAGTGATGCGAAGCCGAGTATTCTCAGTCGCACCTCGTACATATCCCGAGGCTTCAGTATCAATCTCCCAAGGACTCATCTTCGTCATCCTCATAACCCTCCTCCGTCCTCCCTCGGCCCGCCACGCCATCATGTTCCCATTCGTCCTGTCCTTGTTTTCCCTCTCTGTCCTCCCCACCCAATCCTCCTGCTCGTCATCCTGCTCATTACTCCCTTCCCCCCTTCCCCCTCCCACCCACCCACCCACCCCTGCTTCCTCGGTCCTCGTCCCCTCTCCCCATGCCCCCCCTTGCCCCCTCTCGGCGAGTATTGGAACGAGTACTGGATCTCGCACAGCGGCCACAGCCGCCCATACGCCGCCTCCCCAGCCGCCCCCCGACCGCGGCGATTGCGACCGCGTGTGGTTGCAGAGGTCGGCCGACGCCGTTCCGGAAGAGGAGGAGCCGGAGGAGGAGAAAGAAGGAGGAGCAGCAGCAGGATGGAGAGAAGCAGTAAGAGAAGAAGGCAGGAGAGGTAGAGGAGTAGGTGGAGGAGCGGAGAGGACGAGAGAGGAAAGGGAGGGGGGAGATGGGAAGAGGGCGGGTGGAGAAGGAGGAGGGGCCGAGGGCGAGGGACCCTCTGGGAGGGAGGACAGAGGAAAGGGGGAGAGGAGGAGGAACGTGGAGGACTGAAACTGCAGACATGGCTCTCGAGCTAGCAGGAGCGCGCTCGGACTCGTCGTGCCCGACCGCAGGTCGTGATCAAGTTTCTGGCGCGACGAGCTTCAGAGGCACTGCAGGCCCACGCAACCACCATCCTCGACGCAGCCATTCGTGAGGCTACGGCGGACCAAGTCCAAAGATGGCTTGCGTTGTTCGTTCCGCTGTGGGGTATGATGTTGCAGTGAGCTGATGTCCCTCCCTTGCCGTTCTTTTGATGGCCCGTTGCCATCACGGCCCGGGTGAGCCTGGCCCCCAGCAGGGCGAAGCGTGGGCCAACGCAGCATGTGATCAAAGCACGGAGCGCTCCATCGTGGGCCAGGATAGCACTGAGAAGTGAGCACCACATGAGACCCCATGTCATTCTGATAGTTGCACCCGCCACAGCATCTCTCATGCTCAGTGGGGGATGGAGAACGGAGGGAGGAGAAGGAGCAGGAGGAGGTGGAGGGATGGATGGATCGATGGTGGTCCTCCCAGCGAGGTGGCATGTTGAGGCTGCGGGCACAGCCCCCTTAGCAGGGAGCTGCAGGGCCCAGTGGGCGTCTGGCAGCAGACGAACAACTTCGACCCAGGGAGAGGCGTGTCCTGTCAAAAGGGGGGCGCGGAGAGGGAGGGAGAGGGCGGGAGGTCCACAGTACCGACATGTCCCACCCCGACTCGAACGCCCCAGTTTTCTTGTGGAGATTGGCACGCGACATCCCAGAATGCAAACGCAGAGAGAGAGAGAGAGGGAGGGAGATCGCAACAGTTCGACGAGCCGAAGTCCGCCTGGCGCGAGGGCTGCGAGCGCCCTCCGCGCCAACCTCCTGTGGCGGGAGGTGCTGCTGTGCGAGCCGTGGTGTGGAGACCACCCTCCCCCCTGGCGCGGTCTGTGTGGACCCGACAGCGAAACAGAGGCGGGACGCGGCGACCAGAGCGTGGAACATTCCGTCTGCACGCCCGCACGCAGAGAGACGCCGGCGGTACGCAGGCTCCGGCATGCGTGGTACGGAGCCCTGGCAGCAGCGGCGCTGATTTGGGCAGCCCCCGCAGCGGCCCAACAAGGGGGCAGCGGAATCGGGGCCAACAGTCCACGAAGCCCACAAGAAGCTTGGCTGGGAGGTCGCGCAGGAGAACGAAGTCTGTGACAAGCTGTTTGGCTTTTGCGGTGGCGAGCACGTAGTCGATGCGAGTTCTTCCCGTGCCAGCGGTGCGTCGGTCCAAGTCGACGTCTTGGCTGCAGGTGCACTCTCGCTCGTCGGGGTACGGCAGGTTCGCGTCGTGTCGACCGGCGGCGACCCCAGCGCGTGCGTTAAGGTTGAACGCCGCCCGTGGCCCAGAATCGGCCCTTCGTTGAACGATCCGGCGTTAGTGGAACGGCCGATCGTGCAAGTTGGAACGATCCCCGCGGTGTCAGGAACCTCCGCCGGGGTCGACACGACGCGAACCTGCCGTAGCTTGCCGCGGCGCTGGCCCGCCCGAGGCTGAGGGCGTGACTGAGGAAATCCGAATGTTTCAGGGCGCAGTGGGCGTTCATGCATCTGAAGTACGGCACGCCCCCATACCTTGTTCGCAGCGTCCCAGACATGTTGGATCAGGGCAGCGTTTGCGGCCCCCGACTTGGCGCAGACCGACGCAACGAAGACACATTCGGTGAGGGTTTGGCAGCGGCCTATCCTTCTAGCTTTCCGCTTGGTGTCGGCGGCGAGAACAGGGATCGGATAAAAGGCGTCCGTCCATCGCGTGGTCGCGAGGAGGCTTGCGACGGGTGGGTCGCTGTTGGACGCGTCGACCAGCGCTCTTTGCGCAGCGATGCACACCCCTCCGCGTTTGGCGGTCGTGGAGCGCACCCCGTGGTCAGTACCCCCTCCGCGCCCTTTGCGCTGGACGTAGTCGCCCGCGGGGCTACGACCTCATACAGGTCGCCAGGCGCCGTTGTCTGGTGAGCGGATGCTTCTGTCGATGGCATGAATGCAGTCGGTGGGATGGTGGGTGTCTTGAAGGTCCGAGATTGTGGCTCCGCAATGCTCCCGAAGCTTGGTGAGAACGTCCCAACAGGCGTCGAGGTTGGCGACGTTGGCGATGACGAGATGGGCCAGCTGTGGACCGTCTCCGTCAGTAAAGCTGGCGTCGCCTCTGGCTTTTCGGCGCTGCCACAGCGCAGCGTTCTGCAGGGCGTGGCCTCTGGACAGTTCCCCAGGAAGCAAAAAACAAGGGGTTCCAAAAATTGCGCCAGGGAGGGGGTAATAAAGAATCCCACCAAAAGAACATTGACACACCTGGAAGCCGCCAGGGGAAGGATCGAGGGAGGGACAAAAGCGGCCGCGCTTGTAGCTGCGCTCGGGCGCGCCCACTCCCGCGCACGGCGCCGCGCCTACGCAGGCTTGCTCCGCCGCCTCGAGGTCCCTGCCGATGTCGATGTCCTTGCTGTCGTCCTCGAAGTTCACCTCCGAGTCGTCGAGACTGACCTCCTGAGGGCCATGTTTGGTGCCTTGGCTGTCCAGTTCCTGTTTCGGTGGCTGGAATCATGGTGGACCACCGAACTGGCTGGGCGGCCTGAGCGGCCCGTGCGCTGGCGCCACAGCCTCGCTGATTTCAGGTACCGGCGAGAGGTTCGATGGCGCCGCGCCCGTGGCCCTAGGACCCGCCGCGGCAAATGGTCTTGCTGGCGTGCCAGGTACACTGATCCCCGAGAAATGCGCTCTTGCTGACGCCGCGGAGCTGGCGCTCGGGCTGCCATCCCCTTGCGCGGCGAACCTGGCGCTGCCTGTTTGCGCAGCGAAGCTCGGATCCTCGCCAGGCGGGATGATGGGCTTGTCTTCGGGCGCTCTGGTCCGGCACGCCACGTTCCCGAGGCTTGCCTACCCCGGCCCGCTGGGAGAGCCGAGCAGTGGAAGGTCACGCGTAGGGGCGCCTCTCCGCATGTCGGGCCCGCGAGGCTCGAGCTTCGAAGCCACACTCTGCCGCGGCGCTCCAGGCGGGGCCTTGGGCCCATGAATCTCCATGTGTTCGGCAGCGTATTTGGGGTTCAATGTATCCATCGGGGCCCTGTCTCTGGTTCCCGTCGGCGCTGGTTTGGGTCTCGCGCTGGCTGGTGCCACTGTTCGGGCACGGTTTGGTTCGTCGCCCTCTCGGGCTCCCTTTTGGCGACCGCGCTGGGCCATGATGGCTTTGGCGGAGTGGCCCTTCTCGGCGACCTCGACGGCGAGTCGGAGGACGTTCCCCCGCCCTGGCCCTCGTTTCGTTTGGGCGCAGGTGGCTCTTGCGGCGTCGATAACTCGCGGTCGAGCTCGTCGAGCTCGCCCTTGTTTTCTTTGGCTGGGGCCACTTGGGGTCGTGACTGCTGTTCACCGTGAGCTTTGGCGCTGACTGATCCGCTCGCGGCGCCGGCCACGCCTGGCGGCGGGTGGCTTCGTTGCCCGGGGGCGAGTTGAGCCCGTTCCTTTGCCGCGCTCACCTCGTCTGGTGACGAGCGTTCAGGGCGCGAGAGCTCGAGCACGGGAGGCCCTGGCGCAGCCTTGTCTTGGCTCATCGCGGGCCCTGTAGGTCAGCTTCTGGATCGCGACTTCGCCCTGAGTCTGCGGTGCGGCGAAGTTGGGCCACAGGGGCCTATATTGTCTGAAGTAGACAACTTTGGCCCTCACCAGCGGGCGGCAAACTGCCCTAGCCGCTTGGCCGCAGGGTCGGAAAGCATGGCTGCCGCAGTGGGATTCTGACAGGACGCCAAAGACGAGAGACTGTAGATGCAACGGGATTCCACGCTAGAAGAGTTGGGTGGCTCCGTTGGGAGAATCGGTCGTTTGCTTGCGCTGTTGTCGGAAGCCCCTGGCCTGAATCCATGGTAGGATATTTGCTGCGCGGGGTTGCTCGGGTCAGGCTCGTCAAGGGCGGTTTCGATGTTGCGACTGTTGGAAGCCGCGAGCGTTGGCCCCATTGCCAGAGGCGAAGGAGTAAAGCCAGTTGTCTGCGGCGCGCCCTCTTTTTCTCTCTGTGGGCCTCTTCGTGCCGCGCCCCCGTCTGCACCATGGGCAGAGAAGGCCACGCTGGTGCCGAGCCTGGCTGCAGTAGAGGTGATGGGCACTGAACAGGCAGGAGTCGCAGGCGCAGCGGGCGTCGGCGCAGGCCCATCGTCCTGGCAGGACGCCTTGGGGAGTGAGCTTTCTTCGCCACGGAGCTCGGTCCCCCGGCCATCCTCAGTGGCCTCGACGGCCAGTGAGCGACAGAGCATGTGGCCCTTGAGGTGATTTAGCCACAGGTTCGGATGACCGTCGTCGACATCGACCAGCGCCTCGCGGCCGCCGTCGGGGCGTTTGTCGAAAGCCTCCCGGATCTGACCGCTGACGTTGAAAAAGACCCACCCCTCTCATCTGGGAGTCTGGTTTGGCCTGGCAACCCTGGGGTGCGACTCCCCACGGCAGGCAAGAGCCGTCGTGCATCTGATGCTCGTCTGGCGTGCCCGAGATGGGCCATCCTGGGACGCACGCCGTGCCTGGTATGTCTCTAGCGTCCCAGTGCGCTATGGGATCGAGCTGGTTCTCGCCCGGCAGCGCGTCCATGCCCATGTCATCGTTGCTGCCAGCTTTGGATGGGCTGTGGACGTCAGTGGCCAGTTCGGGAGCTTCGCTGTCGGGAGAGAGCCTGCACTCCGTCGCGTCTCCAGGGCACCCGCAGCTGCCGTCCTGGCGATTTCTGCGCAGGTTCCCTGGTGAGTGGCCGTGCATTGTCGCGGCAAACTCGAGGCTCCCTGTTGCGGCCACCGCGGGCGGCACGCTTGTCGCTGGCGTCTTTGGTGTCCGCTAGCCGCGCGTGTACCGTGGCCGGTTTTCGGTGGGTCAGTTTTCCCTTGGCGACTGGCTTTGCCGTGGCTCCGTGGCTTGGTGGTGATCCATCGGCAGACCAGGGCTATGGCTTGGAGGACAGCCTCGCTGCTGGCCGGGCTACCCTGCCTCGTCGGCGTTGCTTCACGCGCTGGAGCCCGGGGAGCTTGACTGGCTGGGGTACCGCAGAGTGGGCGGGTTTGCGCGTCGTCCAGTTGGATAAGCCTGGTGGAGATACCCTGTTTGGCCAAGCCAGGTAGCGGCTTGTCTGGGAGGATGTCTCCTTCCGCCACGGGACAGCGGTTGCGTTTGGTAGGACAGGGCCTGGCCGCTTGCGGACACCTTAAGGCCATGTGTTTGAGTCCGTGGACGGTGCTCATTGGTCTGGCCCTGCCAGTGCCGCCGTGGTTGAGCTCGGCCGCGGCGATGGCTCGCTGGTCGGTGACCCCAGCCGCGATCAGGGCTTGGGCGTGGTCATGGATACCTCAGCAGTCCCTGAGCCTGCACACTCGGGAGGGGGGCCTCGTCCATGCAGGCTTCGCCCCATTGGATAAGGAGTTGAAGGGCACGGGAACATATGAGCGGGGTGGTGTTTGGCGCGGAAGCTAAGCACAATCGCCCCGTGGTCCCGTGAGCTTGATGGTATCTCCCGTAGCTCACGGACCACCAGAGCAACAGGGCCCGCCGCTTTAGGGTGGTTTTCTGGAACAGCCCTGGCAAGGACCATGCTGCAGTAGTTGACAGCGTGGACGGGTGAGCGCTGGTGTGGACTCGGCTGGTGGTCGCACACAAGCTGTTTCCCTGCTCGAGCCAGGTCGGAGGGTCCAGTCGTTTCAGTGGACGTGCACGAGGTTTCCAACTCGCGTGGCTTGACGGAGGCCACAGTGATGATATGCCAGGTCAGTTGGCTCGGCGATGCCCCAGGGTGCCCACGGGAAGATGAAGTGCCCCGAGGTGGCGGCATCCTCCCTTGCCCATGTGATCCCGTCGACCTTCTGTTGAATCAGTGCTTCTTACAGCTCGATAGCGTGGGTCATGGGGTCCGGGTCAGCGGGCGCAGTCGGGCCTCGCGCGAGCGCTTGGTAGACGGCCTCTTTGCTTGTAACCGCGGTGTCTCTGGTCCAACCTCTCTCGGAGATCACGTCGGCCAGGCAGCATGGTGGTTGCGCGGCGCCCACCATCGTCAGCGCGTCACGACGATTAGGAGGAGGAGGAGGAGGAGGAGGAGGAGGAGGAGGAGAAGGAGGAGGAGGAGGAGGACTAGGAGGAAGAGGCGGAGGCGGAGGAGGAGGAGGAGGAGTCTGAGGCCACAAACTACCTCGGCCATTTTCTCCTGACGCTGCTGCTCGTGCCGTACATGCAGCCTGGCGGGAGCGTAGTGGTCGTGAGCAGCATCACTGCCTGGTGGGCCGACCCCAAGTGGTTGACGATAGGCTTCGGCGTGCCGGTTCCCAACATAACAGATGCGCGGCCCTCAGCGGAACCCTCCTCCTCAGTTCCTGGGCTCCTGGCGACGCCAAACAGAAAGCGCGCCCGAGGTTCTTCGCCACTGTCTGCGTCGGCAGGCTGTTTCCAGACTTTGGGACCCCCGAAACACATGCGCAGAATGAAAGACCGGGTCTGGGGAAGAAGTCGAAAACTCCATGGGCCCACGACTCGAGAAGAGTCGCGTCGCAGGCCACGGGTTTTGCACCTCTTTTTGGTCGGCGGGTTTCCAATGTCCTATCCAGCAGCCGCCCAGGTTGCCGGAGTGGCCACGTCCGAATTTCCACAACTTGCGCAATGCACTCGCCCACCAGGGCTCACAAACTTCACACGCGTGGCCTCAGACGTGGATGCGTAGGACGAGAATTACAGCAAGAGCGTGAGATGCGTGTAACATGATGTTAGCAATAGTTGCAGAACACGCAGCAAGTGTGGGGGGAATCTGATACTCGAATGAAACACGTGTGAGACACATGCAGCGCAAATGCGCCACAGACACATGCCTGTTCAACGAGACTTAGCAGAATCAAGTATGTGCTGTAGCCCAGGCAACCGGCGAAGCCACATGTGGTATGTTATGCGAAAAAAGTTGTGGTTCAGCTTGCAGGGCAACATGCGGAGCGTGAGTTACACAAGTAGTGACACATGTTGATACAATGTTAAGCCGATGTGCAAAACAGCATGCGAACTGTACAGGAAGTGCGCTGTGATGTAAGATGTATGCAAATGCATGGATTATGTACCATGTCAAACAGGATAAAATTCGAGTAACGTTATGCGAAGCGAGCTGCTATAAGACATGCGATCACTTTGTGAGCAGGGCGTGAGGAGAGTCCAGAGCGAGGCACGAAGCAAAGTGCGAAAGTAATGAAGGCACGTATCCACCAGCGCGGAGTCCGAAATGGGCACGGATGAAACATCGAAGCGAAAATGCCAGCTACATATTGCCAAGACTATGTGCTCCTCCTCCTCTTCACCTCCTCACCTCTTCATCCTCCCGCGTTTCTTTCAGTTGCTCTTCAAAGTGCTTCATCTCCGTTGGTCTCCTCTATTCTTCTCCCGCGTGCTCTCTTTCTCTGCACTCCGATGCTTTCACCTTCCCTCCCATCTAATGAGAAGATCATGTTCTCTGCACTCCACTCCACTTGCATTGCACTTCTGTGGTCTAACACAACCTTTTCCATGTCCGCTCTCTCTGCCTCTCTGTCTCTCTCTCTCTCTCTTTCTCTTATATCCCCTGTTGAGGTGCACGAGGATCTACAGCGCCACTACTTGGCAGACGGCATGTACGCCGCCAGCAAATATGCGGCCGTGTGCTTTGGGAACACCCTCAGGCCGTCACGGGGGGAACATGGAGCGCGCGAGAAGGAAGCGGGACGGAGGATCACCAAGACAGAGGAGAAGGAGGAGGCGGAGGAAGAAGTGGTGGAACACGATGTAGACACTTGTGTGTGAATGTTTACACAAACAGTTAGACACCATGTATAATGTATGTTGTCACCTGTCGGCCTTGGAGACCCAGTGGTTTTCTCGAAGCCATCCCAGGGCCGGTGTAAAGCCCTCTCGGGCTCGCTGTGGGGCGTCTTTGGGTTGTGCTGGGATAATCCAGGGACGCGCGAAGGTGAGGCTTGCTCTGTGCTCTTGTGAGCCCCAGAGTGCCTCTCAGAAGCCATAGGGACCATGAGTCCTGAAACAGCTGAATGTTGTGAGAAGCGTTGGGATACCATGTTTGTCTTCCCCGTGTTGCCCTTCATCCGAGACATCCCCCCTCTGGAGCTTCTGTTGGCTCCCCAGCGGTGTGAGGTAGCTCATGTCGAGACGGATGGGGCTGTCGTAGAACAGCGAGCACACGTCGGGCCCGTGAGGGTGAAATTTGTTGGGCACGTATTGCATGATTTGGGTTGCATCAGAAGGAGTGTGGAGGGCATCTCGGGCGCGAAAGGCTGTCCCTGGAGGGGGCTATGGAAGCCCACGTCAATTCATACCTCGTGTGTTTCTGACACCTGTCCAATGACTTAGAGCTGCCTTTAAGCCCTCGCAGGGGCTCCCCTCGCAGGGGCTCCGCAGCAGTCTCGAGATCGATGCTGGGAGCCTCCTGACGGTCTTCTGAGTACTCTGTCGGGAACAGTACAGCGAAACATGAGTGGGCTGTCGGGAGAAGGGGGAGGAAAGGAGGATGAGAAGAACCAGTTGAGAATGCGGAGAAAGGATGAAGAGGATTTGCGGGGATGATGGGGGAGTGTGGTCATGTGTATTTAATTTGTTTTTGTTCCTTCTCGCTACCCTTCCGCAAGATGATCATTTTCGTCGTCTTTATTCCTTCCACTCCATCTCATCATTACGTATCCTAATCATCAAAAACCTCTGTCTCATGCTCCTACTTCTCCTCTTCCCCCTCCTCTCTCTCTCACCTACCCCTCATCATCCTCATGTTCCTCCCTCTTCGCCTCCTCCCTCATCATCCTCATATTCCTCACCCTCCGCATCCTCATTTTCCTTCTCCCCCTCATCCTCTCCCATCCACCACCTCCTCTACCGCGCAGGTCCGTAGCAATTTGGCTCAAGACGGCTAGCTGTCCTTTGTTTGTTTGCTTGGTGTTGGCTCGAGCCATCGCTCGTTTGTCCAGATGGATGACGTTTACGCTTCTGTAGCATGTCTTACTGGCCGCACGCTGCGGCTCCTCGCTAAATTCTGTGATGCTCGCGACTCTGGCCTTCAGATGGCTGCTCATGGGCAACGGCGGGCGCTGACCACTGCTACTCGGAGACTCGTGCGGCACCTTGGGACTGCTGCGCAGGTCCCGCGGCGCTACGCTGACCCCTGGGCGGAAGAGTTGCTGGCCGCACTTGACCGTGAACTTCGGACCGCTCATCCTCACATGCCTGGTCCAGTCCCCAGTCGTGCCCGACGTTGTCTCGTGTCTCGCGATGCTCGGTCGCTCAACGGCGAGGCGCCGATCTTCGTTCCCGCTGCGCCGGCGGCAACCAGTACGTCATTCAGTGCGGCTCCGCTGGAAGTCACCGTGGTGTCTGTCTCTTGTCTTCTTACGGATGCTCAGCGTTCTCGAGACTCCCAGTTCGGGGTTTATCAGGGGCTGGTGGAAGCACAAGACCAAACCATCAGCAGTCTGCGGGGTTCTTGAGAGAGCAGAGGCGCTGCAGCTGGTGTCATGGACCCCTGGGGATTCGGCCTCGGCTGCGGATGCCGACGCTGTCGAGTCTAATGAGTACGAGTCGCCGTCGAGGTCGCCGGAGTACGTCGCCCTTAAGGAGTTGCGGAGGCCAGCCGAGGAGATCAAATGCGCGATCCCATCGCCAGCCACAGCTCTCCCTGCGGTCTAAGACATCATGCTTGAAGCGGTGCCTGCGGCTGTCGGGCAGGCTATCCCATCCACAGTCAGCCAAGGATGGGCAGCCTCAAGGGTACTCTTGCATCATTGCCTCGTCGGCCCATCCTTGGCCACTTCCGTTGGCCGGGCCCCGCTCGCAAAGTGCCGACATGGCCTTCCAGGGCCACTGCACCCTCGTACGTTCTTATTATACGGGTCGACTGCATCGTCACGGACTTGGTCGTGGAGGCTACCTACCAGCCCGTTGCTCGACAAAGGCTCGCTCGAGCTCGCAGGAGCCTGGGGCTCCCTGGACGACGGGCTGTCAAACTTAGAGCCGCTGCGCAGGGTGGGTGGAAGGGGTCGCGGGCGCTCCCAGCTGGTGGAGCTAATGGTAAGTCGGGCCTGTCCCTCTACAGGAGGAATCTTCGAGAATAGTCAAATAGAAGTCTGGGGACGACGTTTCGACTATGTTTGAATAATGTGTTTTGACTATTTTCTGACTTTCTTCCGAAATTCGCCTGTAGGAGGACATGCCCGACCTAATCTCAGATCTGGTCCGCAAGGTATCGAACTTGGATGGGTTTGTTCGCGCCCTGCAGGCTGAGGGGCCGCGTACGTCATCTCGTGGACGGTCGCGACCGAGGCCTTTTTCGTCGCGTCTGGCCTCGTGCGCTGCGGTGTGTCGCTCGGGCATGCTACGTCGGAAAGCCGATTGGTTGTTCCAGCATCCTGATGGTCGCGTGGTGGAGGCAGTGGCGGCATCGCGTGATCATCAGCCCGTCAACTTCCGAGGCACCTACTGGACCACAGAGAGTGGTGCCTCAAGCTTCCCCTGTGGATTATTCTAAGTTTCAGCACACTGTCGATGTGGAGAAAGACGAGTAACTCATTCGCCACTTCGCGGGAGCACTGGGGCTCCCTCCTGATCTGGGCGAGGATGATTTTGCTACCAATGACTTGTTTGTCGGCCCTCGGGTGGCCCACGGGGTCCCGCTTGAATCCGACGTCGACTGACAGTGCAGCAACCTCTTCTCCTTCGCGACCTGCGGAATCACAGAGCCGGTGTTGTCGTCGTAGTTTCGCTCCTCGTGTTCTTCTTCATGTTGATGTTGCTTCCACGTTTAGATTATTACTGAAGGGCCTTCGCCTGCGCTCAATCCCAATTTCGTGGGGGGGCGGGCCTTCAGAGTTGAAGCAGACTTCGCCTTTCGGCCACGCTCCACCCCCTCTACCGCGCAGGGAGCACTCCCGCCCACTCGCCTACGCCTACGAAGAGAAAAAGATCAGCCAACGTGAGATCGAAGGCATTCAGCACCCAGCTACGACGCATGCACCGACGCAGTGGCCGTACGATGATCAGGGAGGGACTGATGGCGGCAACGCCTACGGCTGAAAGAAGTATGGCGAATAGCATCGGCAGTTGCACAGTCGCGACGACAATGTGCAAGAGCCATGGCACGCAGTAGCCTGGGCGATGTCGTATTCGAACAAGCAGACCCGGAAACATCCATCGTGCACAGGCTCTTCGATAATGACGAATGTTTGGGGGCCACCGACCCGACATGCGCAAAGGCGTAGACCAAGCGTGCGTCATGATAAACAAAAGGTGTTTGGACGCCCCACCAGAGTCTCGATGGAAACAGACAATGTCTCATTGAATCTCCCATGCTCTCTCTTTGGAGGGTGGTGCGGAATCCTCGCCCTCCTGATTTGTCGTTGTATTCCGACGGCAGCGAGTGGCAGATGAGGGAGGCGGTGGACGGCCACGAACGCGACCCATCGAATGCTGTTCGTGCAATACAGGAGGCCCAACAGCAGAGGCTGCGACAGGCGACATTCGACGATTGGTCCGACAAAGGAATGGCGCACGGCAGTGATTCGCACGATCTCCGACGAAGAAGCCGACTTTTGAGAAAGAGAGCAGTTAGTGACGAGAAGTTGGAACAGTGCAGGCGGTCAGCGGCACCGCCACCTGCGGACGCCAGACCGCAAGCACAAGATTTTCGACGATGCAAACAACAAATGCGCGTGTTGGCAGAGCTGCAATGACTTCCACTGGGAGTGGGGAGAACGCAGTCTACGCGAGAGCAACAAGCACTACGACCTCACCGGCGTCTTCAAACAGCGAGCAGGTGAAGAAGAGGAACGGAGTTCTTGCTGCGTCACTCGCTCCACCAACTTGGACGCTTAGCTGCCTTCATACGCTCGCGCTGAAACGCAACTCGTACCGTGTTCAAAACGTTGCGCGTTGGCTCGGCACGTGTTGGCCCACGTTTTGGCGAGCGCATCGTGCCAGACCTACGTTGATGGTCTGTCTGTTGAGCCCCGTGTCAATACGCTACGTGTTGCGTTTTGCGTATCGGGTCGGCTAAGCTTGGACGGTACTTTCCGATTGCGACATTGAACGACCCCAAGATGATTGGCGATATATAGTTTAGTATATGGTGCACGACCAGCGGGTCCACTATCATCAGCACCCACGGCAGTGGTGGCAGCCAGACAAGTGACCCACAGAAATTGCACGATGACGATGGACCACATCCTGCACTCGTGCAGGTTCAGAGCCGCTGCGATACCGACAGGGACGGTTCGAGGTCAGGACATGGTCAGGACCCAATTACTGCGAAAATGTCGTCACCCCGGCAGGCTCAAAGTCGTCGAAGATGTAACGAAACGGATGGCTCGAGGTCGGAAACAGAGTCTCGGTTGGTTTGGATTGCTCCCCAGAAAACGACTGGCCAACAATAGAATTAAGCGATGGCCCATTCGACGATCGATAAGATCGATTAGAGGCGAGCTCACCACTTGAGCAGACTTAGATGTTGCTTTCATAGACTGGCAGCGCGAAGACCGCCTCCGATTTGGACACCGACGTGCCAACGCGGACATTTCGGACGGTATATGCCACGCGAAGATGTTTAGAGCACCGCCACACCCGAAACCAGCCGCGTTTGTTCAACTACGCCGTATCGCCGGTCGCCAGGATGCAGGGCCAAAGAAGAATCCCCACTTGGAGGAACAGGCGTGATTGTGAAACGTCTTCGCGGACGACATGGCCTCTAGAGTGGTTACAGATCACAATAGCACACCAGTAAAGATGTAGAAATATGATTGTATCAGGGCGCCAGCGACGATGGGGCGGAGGCGTCGTGTGCGAACACACATGGGCGCGTGCGACCGCGACCCGTCCGCCCAGGTCTCGGAGAGAGCTGCAGTGAGCGAACGGCATGCGGTGATGCAGTGAGTTTAGTTTGACAGTCATCCTTCTCCTCCTGCTCCTTCTCCTCCAGATCGTCATCAGCACCATTAGTTGCATCCTTAACACCAGATAATCCTATCAATATATCATCGCCATCATCACCACCCCATCATCACAATCACCATCCTAACATCGTAATCTTCATAATCATCGTCATCATCATCGTTACCATCACCAACACCATCAGCATCACCATCATCAGCATCATCATCAGAGTAAGCATCAGCATCATCCTCATCATCCTCATCATCATCCTCATCCTCATCCTCATCCTCATCCTCATCCTCATCCCTCCCTCCCGTCCTCCCCCTTCCTCCCTCCCTCCCTCCCTCCCTCCTCCCCCGCGCCGCGGCGCTTCTGGCCTCGGTCAGCCGATCCCCCCCCGCCCCACAGGCGGAAGGTCGCCAGCCAGGCCGCCCTCCCCGCCCCGCCGCCCGCCCGGCGACCCGCGCCCTTGTAGAGAGCCCTCGAGGCGCGGACGCTCGCTGGAGCCGCCCGGGGGGGTCGGAGCTGGCCCGCGGAGGTCCCGTGGGGTGGGCACTCCTCCTCCTCCTCCTCCCCCTCCTCCCCTCCTCCTTCTCCTCCTCCACACTCCTCCTCCCCTCCTCCTCTCCCTCCTCCTCCTCTCCTCCTCCTCCTCCCCCCCTCCTGTCTCCCTCCTCCCCCTCCTCCCCCTTCCTCCTCTCCTTCTCCTCCTCGTCCTCCTCCTCCCCTCCTCCTCCTCCTCCTCCTCATCCTCCTCCCTCCACCTCCACCTCCTCCTCCTCCATCCTCCTCCTCCACCTCCTCCTCCTCCCCTCTCCTGGTCCTCCGCTCCTCCCCCTCCTCCCCTCCTCCTCCTGCTCCTCCTCCTCCTCCTCCTCTCCTCCTCCTCCCTCCTCCTCCTCCTCCTCCTCCTCCTCCTCCTCCTCCCCTCCTCCCCCACCTCGTCCTCTCCTCCTCCTCCCCCCTCCCCCTCCTCGTCATCCCCTCCCCTCCTCCTCCTCCTCCTCCTCCACCTCCTCCTCCTTCCTCCTCCTCCTCCTCCTCCTCCTCCTCCTCACTCCTTCTCCTCCTCTTCCTCCTCCTCCTCCTCCTCCTCCTCCTCCTCCTCCTCATCCTCCTCCCCCTCCTCCTCCTCCTCCTCCTCCTCCTCCTCCTCCTCCTCCTCCTCCTCCTCCTCCTCCTTCCTCCTCCCCCTCCTCCTCCTTCCTCCTCCCCCTCATCCCCCTCCTGGTCCCCCTCCTCCTTGGAACCTGCATCCGTTGATTCGTGCGTGGGCCCGTGGGCGGGGACGGGCGGACGGCAACGACGACGGCGGCAAGGGCGAGGAGCGGAGGACCAGGAGGAGCAGGAGGGGGAGGAGCAGGAGGGGGAGGAGAGGAGGGGAGGGAGGAGGAGGAGGAGGAGGAGGAGAGAGGAGGAGGAAGGAGGAGGAGGAGGAGAGGAGAGGAGAGTAGGAGGAGGAGGAGAAGGAGGAGGAGAGGAGGATAGGAGGAGCAGGAGGAGGAGGAGGAGGAGGAGGGGGGGAGGAGGAGGAGGAGGAGGAGAGGAGGAAGGAGGAGGAGGAGGGGAGGAGAGAAGGAGGATGATGAGGAGGAGGAGGAGGAGGAGGAGGGAGGAGGAGGGGGAGGAGGAGGAGGAGGAGGAGGGGGAGGAGGAGGATGAGGAGAGGAGGAGGAGGAGAGGAGGAGAAGGAGGAGGAGGAGATGAGGAGGAGGAGGAGAGGAGGGGGAGTGGGGATGACGAGGAGGGGAAGGAGGGGGAGGAGGAGAGGAGGAAGAGAGGGGAGGAGGAGGATGAGAGGAGGATGAGGAGGAGGAAGAGGAGGGGAGGAGGAGGGGGGAGGGGGGGCACCAGGTTGCTCTCGCCGGGCCTCCTCAGGGCGCGGCGGAGAGCTCTGTCGAGGTCCTCGCCCGCCTGCGCCCCCAGGGTGCGCGTTGTAGACCGCATGTTTTGCAAACCACACCCTTCGGAGTCGCCGACCCCCGTGGTCTAGGCCTCCCAGATGGGGCCCGAGCACAGTCAACCCGCATAGTAACAACGAACGGTTGCCCGGGTTACCCGTGCATGCTCTCGGCCCATCCTTGGCCGTTTTCGTTGGCCGCGCCCCGCTCGCAAAGTGTCGGCATGGCCTTCCTTCCAAAGCCCTTGCATCCTTATCGCGCGTCCTGATTATACGGGTTGATTGTAGATGGTGTCGAAGGATCGCTCCGCATCGCCGATGCAGCGGCGACGCGGCTCAATGTGGAGTCTGGTTTTCCCCGCGCCCATGGCGCCGATGTATCACCAGCGTCGCCGATGCATTGCCGATGCATCATCGGCGATGTGGTGCAGTCGTCCAGGATGTCGGCGGCCATTTCGGCTACACCACCCGGCTCCTGAGCAGGCTCTTCGCCAGGCTATTATTCCTTGTATTGTTTCCACGATTTTACGGTCAACCCGCGTAGTAAGGATTGGCAACCTTCCCAAGGGTACCTTTGCATCCTTGCCTCCTCGGTCCATCCTTGGCCTTTTTCATTGGCCGCGCCCCGCTCGAAAAGCTTCGAAATGGCCTTCCAAGGCCCTTGCATCCTTATCGTGCGTCCTTCTGGTACGGGTTGACTGCACTCAGTGTGAAAATTCGTCTGCCCTCCTCACTCCCCCGGTACTATTTGGTGCAGGGAGGCCTCCGAGCATGGTGAGCGGGAGGCCCTCCGCCCACGGAGGCCCGGCCCCATAGGTCGAGGCCTCCTTGATGGGGTCGGAGTAGATGGGGTCGGAGGATCGTGCCGCATCCCCGATGCATCTGGCGGCTCGATGTGGGGCTCAACGTTCTCCACGCGCTCAACTTTCTCCACGCCAACGTCGCCGATGCATCGCCGACGTCGCCCATGCATCGCCGATGCATTGGCGAAGCGGCGCGATCCTTCGACCCCATCTACTCGGACCCCATCCAGGAGGCCTCAAACAGGATGAGCGCCCCGGAGCCGCCCGATTTTTCTGTGGGCCCGACGCGTCGGTCGCCCAGAGAGGTCGGGCGGCTCCAGGCGTGGGTGGAGCGCCCGTGGGCGCTTGTCGCATCGCCCACCGATGGCCCGTTGATTGCCGATCTCGGCCCGATAAGCCCGCCCCGCCCTGGAGCGTGTGGACTTGCCATCGCGGGCCTGACTCCGATCTATCCGCGGTGCATCGCCGATGTTAGGGCGATGCCCCCCCTCCCCCGAGCCACTGCCCCCCAAACATTCCGCCTCATGCTCCATTCCCGCCATATCGTGGACACCACTGGAAGACGGAGAACGGGCGCCACATGCCACGGAAGCGCGAGCGTGTGCGATACTCGAGTCTTTGAAGCGCCGACCTGGACGTCTGGTGTTCCTTGCCTGGCTGTCGCCTCGCGTTTCCCGTGCGAATTTGGAATCGGTGATTTGTGACCCAGGGGGGATGCGGGGGCAGGAGGATGAGGATAACAATGTACGAAGTCCGGCCCCCGCCCAGCTGCAATGGCTGTCTTCGGCGCAAGTGCGTGTGCATTTCTCTTGGCCGCCAGGGCACCTCACCACCACCATGGCTAGATTCGTCATGACACGGTTGCCAGTAGCAGTTCGGGAGACGATCAGTTGGATCTATCGGAGTAGTAGTAGTAGTAGTAGTAGCAGCAGTAGTAGTAGTAGTAGCAGTAGTAGTAGTAGTAGTAGTAGTAGTAGTAGTAGTAGTAGTAGTACGACTACGACTACTACTACTACTACTACTACTACTACTACTACTACTACTACTACCACTACCACTACCACTACCACTACCACTACCACTACCACTACCACTAACACTACCACTACTACTACTACTACTACTACTACTACTACTACTACTACTACTACTACTACTACTACTACTACTACTACTACTACTACTAGACTACTACTACTACTACTACTACTACTACTACTACTACTACTACTACTACTACTACTACTACTACTACTACTAACTACTACTACTAACCTGCTACTACTACTGCTACACTACTACTATTACGACGACGATTAACTACGACTACTGCTACTACGACTACTACTACTACTACTACTACTACTACTACTACTACTACGTACTACTACTACTACTACTACTACTACTCTACTACGTACTATTACTTACTACTACTATACTACTACTACTACTACTACTACTACTACTGTACGACTACTACTACTACTACTACTACTACTACTACCACTACCACTACCACTACCACTACTCACTACCACTACCACTGCTAACTACTACTACTACTACTACTACTACTACTACTACTACTACTACGACTACGACTACTACGACTACTAGTACTACTACTACTACTACTACTACTATACTACTACTACTACTACTACTACTACTACTACTACTACCACTACATTTACTACTACTAGTAATACTACTACTACTACTACTACCACGACTATTTTTAGTACTACTACTACGACTACTACTACTACTACTACTCCTACTACTACTACTACTACTACTACTACTACTACTTACTACTGACACTAACAACTACTACTACTAAACTACTACTACTACGAACTACTACGACCACTACGACTACTACTACTACTACTACTACTACTACTACTACTACTACGACTAATAATAATAATAATACTACTACTACTACTACTGCTACTACTACTGTTACTATTACGATTACTACAACTACGACTACCACTACCACTACCACGACGACTACTACTACTACTACTACTACCACCACGGTTATTATTTCTACTACTACTACTACTACTACTACCACTACTACTACTACTACTACTACTACTACTACTACTACTATGACTATGACTACGACTACTACTACTACTACAACTACTACTACTACTATTAGCACCACCACTACTACTACTACTACTACTACTACTACTACGACTACTACTACTACTACTACTACTACTACTACTACTACTACTACTACTACGACTATGCTTACTACTACCACCTCGTACTATTACCACGACTACTACTACTACTACTACTACTACTACTACTACTACTACTACTACTACTACTACTATTACTACTACGACGACTGCGTCTACTGCTACTACTACTACTACTACTACTACTACTACGACGACGACGACTACGACTACGACTATGACTAATACTACTGCTCCGATTCCTGCTCCGACCCCTTCCTAAACTACTACGGGTATTATTATGAATACTCACTATTACGACTACTACTACTACGACTACGACTACTACTACCACTACTACTACCACCACGACCCTTCCTACTACTGCTACTACTTCTAGTACGGTTGCCACTACTATTACCTCTACGGCTACTTCCGCTACTACTACGACTACTATTACTATTACTCCTACCACTACGATTAGTACTACAACTACTACGACCACAACAGCTAC